GTGGGAAAAGAAAACAAAGTTGGCAGGGCCAGGAGGTGGTGGTGGTTTTGGTGCTGAACCTCCACATGGCTGACTACAATTTGAGTCTCGGACCTGGTGGCTTGAAACTCACACCAGGTGTGTGTGCATGCATGCCCAAAATCCCAGGAGAGAATGGATGAGAAGGGTTTGAAGCATGGCCAGTCCCCCTGGGGGGTGATTTCTCACTTTCCCTCTCACTGTCCCTCTCTGTCGCTCTCCAGCAAGCACACATGCCCTATGACAAAACCTTAATAAAGAAGCAAACAAAGTCAGCAAGTGTGCTCTGCTGTAGGGTACGATAAAGAGAGTGAGAGCGGATTTCCACAGCTGCCGTGGTGGTCCCCCAGCTGCTGTCTGCTAGCCCAGTCTCTGCCTGGGCTAATGAGGTATCGGCATGGTTTGGCTGAGGGATTTCCTTACTGTGGTTTATTATTTTCATTCTAGCTAAAGGCTTTCTTCTCCTGCCCCAGTACATTTTTCTCCCAAAGTTGATTAGAAAAGTGACATAGTGGTTAAGGTGCTGGACTCCCATGTGGCTGATGGGCCCAGCAGCTTGAAACTCATGCTGGGTGTGTGTGCATGCCCAAAATCCTGAGAGGAGAATGGAGAAGGGATTGCGTCATGGCCAATCCCCTTGAGGGTGACTTCTTGCTTGCTTTCTCTCTGTCTCTTTTTGTGTCTCCAGCAAGCACATGTTCCCTATAGCAAAAAAATAATCTCTCTGTCTAAAAAAAGAAAAGAAGGAAAACACCAAGTCATTTTAAGATCACACAGTATTTTTTAAAAACTCTGTTTCACATTAAACAATTTAATGGGTAAGCATTCTAAGTCAACCCTTTAATTCATAAAACACTCTCTCTGAGCTTTCTTTAAAGAATCACAATTACAATATTATTTTAATTTCATAAATGTGATTTCTTGGGACCAGCAGTTAGCGTAATGGCTATGTCGCTGGACTCCCACGTAGTCGACCGCGGTTCATGTCCTGGACCTGGTGGCTTAAAACTCACGCCGGGCGTGTGTGTGCGCATGCCCAAGATCCCGAGAGGAGAATGGAGGAGAAGGGATTGCGGAGTGGTCATCCCCCATGGGGAGTGATTTCTTGCTTTCTGTCTCTCTGTCTCTGTCTGTCCGGCGAGCACATGCGCCCTATAGAGAAAAACCTCTCCAAAAAATAAAAAATAAATGTGATTTATTTTTCTTTTGTACAAGTGGTATGTGTGTGTGTGTGTGTGTGTGTGTGTGTGTGTGTGTGTTTTAATTTGACAGAGGGTACATGTTCTCTCTGGAGAGAAAGGGCGAGAAAGAGAGAGAGAGAGAGAGAAGAAAAGCACTTCCTACAAGGCAGGGTCAAACCGCAATCTCTTCATCTCTCATGCTTTTTGGGATTTGGGGCACACATGCACATACACTTGGCATGTTTGTCAAGCTGCTGGGTCTGGGACTCGAACCCTCTAGCCCCTTTAACAAGCACTGTGGGCTGGCCTCGTAAATGTGATTTCCATAAAGCTTTTTGTAAAAACATTGCAGCATTGAGTGAAGTGTGCCCACATACTGTAAAATGGAACCACGTGTGTCTCGGCTCCACTAGTGATGGAGCTGAGCAGGGGAAGTGACCGTGGGTTAGAGCAGAGACACTGGAAGAAGTAAACAAGCATCTAGGTACACACTACCTCCCTCCCTGTCAGCTCCCAGGGTACTGACTGTGTCTGTTAACCCCCAGCTCCAGGCCTACCAAGACCCCAGTGATAGCGCCAAGTCAGAGGAGGACCTGGGCCCTGACAGTCACCAGTACATTCACAGACCAGCTGGTGGCCTCTCTAGGAGTACAGGAAAAGGGGATGACAAAGCTGATGATGAAGATGACAGTGGAGATGACACCTTGGGTGAGGATGACAATGGTCCAAGGCCTGAAGACAGGCAAGAAGATGGAAAGTCCAGACAGGGAAGCGATGAGAATTCAGCAGACACCACAGAATCCAGTGAAGACAGGGCCCCAGAAGGGCAAGACAGTGCCCAAGACACCAGCAGTGAGAGTCGGGACCTTGACAAGGACAAGGTGGACAACAGGTCCAAGGGAGGGGACCTCACGAGTGAGAGTGAGGAGCACTGGGATGGGGACAGCAGCCATGGGGATGGCTCCGAGTTCCACGATGAAGGACTGCAGAGCGATGACCCCAACAGCATCGGAAGCGAGAGAGGCAGCTCCAGAATGCTTGGTGCCGGGGTCCAGTCCAAGAAATCGGCCAGCGACGCAGAGCAAGGCAACACTCAGGGTGACAGCCAATCCTCGGAGCACCCCCGTGGGAAACTTTCCCGAAAGTCCCGCATTTCTCAGGAAGATGACAGAGATGAGCTTGATGACAGCAACACAGTGGAAGAAGTCCAGAGTGACTCCACAGAAGACGCCATTTCCAAAGAGGCCAGCCGTGGCCAGTCCAGAGAGCATAGTGACAGTGAATCCCCGGAGGACAGCCCGGAGACTCTGTCGAAGGAGGATGGTCACCATGCACAGGACCTCAGCAGCGAGTCTAGTCAAGAGGGCGACCTGCTGTCCAGAGAGAGCAGCAGTGAGTCTCAGGAAGAGGTCGTGAGTGAGTCCAGGGGCGACAACCCAGATAACACTACCGGCCACTCAGAAGGCAAGGACAACAGTGAGTCCAGCGAGGAGAACAGCCAGAATACGTCTTCCACATCAGAAAGTCAATCCAGAGAGGAGCACGCTGACAGCGAGTCCAACGAGAGACTCAGATCCTCAGAGGAAAGCCCGGAGTCCACGGAGGAGGAGAACAGCTCCAGCCAGGAGAGCCTTGAGTCTCGCAGCAACTCTGCAGAGAGCCAGAGCCAGGAAAGCCAGTCAGAGGAAGCCAGTGATTCTCGGGACAGCAGCAGGTCACAGGACAACAGCGACTCCACCCAGAGCAAATCAAGCAGCGAGGAAGATGACCCTTCCAAGGCCACGGAGATAGAAAGCAGAAAACTCACAGTTGACACTTATCACAACAAACCCATTGGGGATCAAGACGACAACGACTGCCAAGACGGCTATTAGCGTCAGCTCTCCTGAGAAGCGGCTCTTAGGCAGGAGTCGGGGGCTCAAGAGGAGGGAAGTCTTTATACCTGTAACTTATTAATGTTTTGGTCAATGGGATAAATAAGAAGCCATTTCTTTCTGGAAGAAATTACTGGACATTTTTCACTGGTTTTCAGGGTGTCACCATTCCACTGGGGTTTGAATCAAGTGGCATAATGCCCAGTGATGGGACTGGAAGCAAGGACAGATGTGCTTAGAGCTTCCTAGCAGAAAGCGTTCCCAGCACATTAACGGAACAGCTCCTGGGGTTCTGTCATGTGCCAGGCCCTGCACTTGGGGCTGGGATGTAAAAAAGGAAAGACTCATTTCTTGCTCCTGAGGAGCTATAGAGTAGCCCATAAAGCTAGAGAGGTGCAGGGATACATGTGAGGGGCCTCCAAAAGCTCACGGGAAATGTGTATGAAAATAAAAATGAAAAAAAAGCTATGTACGTGTTTCAAAAATATTTTGCACCAACACACCCTCAGACTTCAATTGCATTTTCCACGAACTTTATGAAGCCCCCTGAGTGAAAGAAACAAGAATTGTTACCATCCCGTGGGGTGAATGAAATTTGTAGGAGCACACAGAAGGGTGACCGGCTTTGCCTTGGAGAATCAGGAAGGGCTTCTCAGCAGGA